ATTCCACTTGCCCAAAACTAAAGGACCGCTGTCATCCACCTTAAGGTCTGTGTCTTAGAAACTTCATTTCCTTCGCTTTTAATTATTGATTCTGTGCTCACGGACTTCCCCAGCCCAGTCCCTGCCTTCCCTGTGCCTGTCGTGGCTGTGCCTTTCCCTGGCTGATGTTCCCTGTCCCTTTCTGTGGATCGTTGGACTCGATGATCTCAGAGGTCCCTTCCAACCATGAAGAATCTGTAATTCTGTGTGATTTCTCTCCTCCCTGGGTCCACCTTCATAAATCACAAGTGATACTTCAGTTTTGTCAGCCGTTTTCTAGCGATAATTGCAGGATGGGCAGGACCCTGTGGTGTAGCTCTTGCTATACATCCTAAAAACATTAAAAAATATGTAAATTAAAATGCCAGTTTAACTTCTGAAGATTTTGTACCTGGTTTAGTACTGCCGTTTCCCACCTTTGCCCATCTCACATCCAGGTGATTTCACGGAACAGGGAGGCAGAAGGAGGTTGTACCCACTTTGAATTGCTTGGATTTAAGGCACAGTAAACAGTGAAATATTGCTGTCTGCCCTCCCACTTTGGGATTCTCTCCCACAGAAAATCTCCCGTGCTGAGTGTCCTAAGAAGATTAAGATCAATCCTTTTTTAATATTGCTTTTAGCTGAGCTTATTTGTAACCCTTTCAGAATATGTAGCACCTTAAGAGGTGGCACGACAGGGCTGTTGCTGTCACAAGCATTATGTTCCCTCTAATACAGTATTTTCTCAAATATTAAGACTTTCTTCCCTGCCTTAGCACTTTTACATTACTGATTAACTTGCATAAACTATAGGGTCTAGTACATATATTTTTTTTTAAATAGACTGCATTTATTTTGCTTCCTTGAGCAAGTCCTATTTCTTTTCTACAACTCTTCTACTTCATAATTTCCTGTGTGTCTTCCTCCAAATAACTGTGATTATCACTACGTATGATGAGTTTACTTAGACTTAAAAAATTAAACCTAAAGCACAGAAGACCATATGGGTCTCTTACTGAATTTCACTCAGATTCAAGAGGTCATGTTTAGTATATATATTTTTTTGAAATAGACTGCATTTATTTTGCCTCTTTGAGCAAGTCCTATTTCTTTTCTACAACTCTTCTACTTCATAATTTCCTGTGTGTCTTCCTCCAAATAACTGTGATTATCACTACGTATGATGAGTTTACTTAGACTTAAAAAATTAAACCTAAAGCACAGAAGACCATATGGGTCTCTTACTGAATTTCACTCAGATTCAAGAGGTGAATTTGCAGTGAATAATGGAAATGGCCAAATTCTGCTATTTCGCTTATTTCTTTAAAAAAGGTGTTTTCCATCACTGGTCAGGGGTTATGGGCATCCTGCAGCCCTAGGGACTGACCAGTTTAGCTGGTCTCTGTGCACTCTCCTTCCAGTTCCAGCACTGGGTAAGGCTGGAGGGGTCAGGCTGAATTCGGAAAATCCATGAAAAGCAGAGGGTGTTTTGAAGACTGTTGCCATTGATTGTATAGAGAAGCATCATCGTGGTGCTCTGAAGTTGCTTTTTAAAATCATTTTTAGGCTGAAAAGGGGGATGTCAAGTCATCAATTAATCCTGACAGCATCCTTCTGTGGTGAAAATATAATACTGTCACACCCTTTTTATAAACAGAAAATCTAAGGCAGAGATAATGGAGGCTCAATACTGGTGCTACTGGTACCACCAGCCTCCCAATCCCCATTTCAAGGACAGTCCTGGAAGTTTTATTTCAGATTATAAAGGGAAGCCAATAAATCAGGCTGAACCCTGGCCCACGTTCCCATCCCCAGACCACCAAACCTCAGCCAAATCTTCAAATGTCTCTCTTACAATGTGTTTTAGTCCCAAGAATAAAAAATCCTGAGTAAAACAACTTAGCGTGCAGTAGGTAAACGTGGAGATCACTCTCAAATAGGTGAGGTGTCCGTGTCTGATTTTTGGCATTTACTGCTGGAGTTTGGTCATTCTGATGTTTTCATGTTCTTACAATGAAATGTAGAGCATCTTCGTACCATGCCCAGTTCTTCTTTTTCCTTTACCAGATGCATATCAAATCAAGTAAAAATACAAGAGCATTTCAAATGCCTAAACTAAACAGCAAAGCCAGACCACAGAATCACATTGGCTTAATTTTTCCCCAAACACAATATCTTAAAAGAAAAGTTTGCATATTTAATATCAGGCTTTTATATAGTTTTGCAGCTCTTCTTAAGGAAATGGAGTATATATAATTAATACTGTTTAATAAAGCTCAAAAATGCAACAGATGCAGCCAAAAGTGCACGTCATTTTGAGCAGATCTTTACAGAACAGACATTCCATATTGTGTTCATCTTTTTCCACGATCACTGCTATGACAATCTGGTGTGTTTAGCAGTTGTTGCTGAGTAAGGCAGACTGGATTGTATATGATTTTCTCCATGTCAGCCAAGAAAAGAGAGCTCTCTTTCTTTTTGATGCAGTAAAGAGGTGGTCTTGTGCTATTTATTGCTTTTCTACCAGGAGCAGCTATACCTTTGCCAACTTGCAGGAATAATTATACACCGCGATCTGTAGGTGCTCGTGGTGGAAGGTCTCAACTTGAAAATAGAATGGTTGTGGTGTGGAAAAGCCACAGGAACTGATAAATCGAGTGAGGTGACCTCCCAAATAGAAAAGCTACAAGAGTCACAAACTGTGTCATTAAAATCCGTCAGTTTAAAAGCAAAATATTTCAAAAGGGGATAGGGGAGGAGGATCACCTCCAGCAAAAAAGCCATGAGAGGCTCCAGTGCAGAGGAAACGTTTCCCCTTTCAGCATTCCTTCTGGGTGCCAAATTTTCCTTCTGTTCTTCCCCACCTATTAAACAAAGCTGCAACTTCCAATTCCTATCAGTTTTCCTAAATATGTGCAGCTTATGTGGCTTCCACGAGCTGTAAGGCTCCGTGTTCTCCTGCCAGCTCCTTGACAATGTGGCTCCAACAGCATCCTCCACTTTTGGCTGCCTCTGGGACCCCTGGTCTCTTCTGGAAAGGGAGAGGGAAAGCAGATCCTTTGCTGGAAGGACTTTTTGTGACTGCAAAGCCGATAGTGAGGCTGTGAAGAGCTTGGAAAGATCCCTGGAAGTGTGGTGGCTCAGTCTGGCGGAGCTGGCTGCTCGGTCCAGGGGGGTGGTTGGGTCCACCTCGGGATGAGCTCAGCATCAGGCACAGGGTGGGCTCACGGGGACCACTGATAAAGCACCCACAGCAGCCTGCCCAGGGGAAACTGAGGCTAATGGGAAGTATTATCATCAATTACACTTAACTCCCAGCATCAAAGCTCTTTTCCTTGCAAACTCACACGTTTCCCTTCCAGCCAAGGCCGAATCCTCGGTTGCAATCCCATCTCAGCTCCTTCAGCAGGGCCTTCGGAGAGAACTAAAATACTGGCAACGTGTTTCTGCCCATAATTTACCCGCCAGAAACAGGTGGATGTTTTAAGCAGGAGGGTGGAAGCAAACTAGTAGGCAGTTCTGGGATCTTTGCAACTGGAAGAAATTTCTCTCCCCGAGCCAGCGCTCGTATCCACTTTGGTTACTGGAACCACCATGAAGACTCCTGGTTCACAGATGTGAAACAAATTATGAAGCTTATGCAGTTGCATTCCTCCTTATTATTGGGAACAAAACAAATCTGGGAGATGGAAGACTTCTTAAAGTAATTATTGTCTGGCTTTATTTTAAGAAAATGCAACTAATTCTGAAAACTCCACAGTTCCTGAAGATTTCTCAGCCTAGGAAAGTCATATTAATTATAAGATTAATTTGTTTTAATTCCCTAAACCAAAAATATTGACTGAATGAGAAATTAACACATGTAGAGCTGCAGATGTCATTTGGCTTCAGATTTCCTGAATGATATAATTATTAATCTTTCATATAGCAGTGTGACAAACCTACAGATTCATTCTACAAAATTAGTCTGTGAAGAAAGACACCAGGACAGCTGAGCTATAGATTTTTCCCTTAATACAGGAAGGAAAACAGTGGAATTTTCTAAATAATAAATAAAACCAAAATATTTTAAAGACATATGGTGCACATCTGTCTGAAATACAATAATTTAAAGGAGAGTAATTAAATGCAAGATGTAATATTCACCTTAGAGTGGGGAAATTGTCTCATTTCACTTTTAATACAACTTACTGAATTTGGGAAATGTAGATCTGTGGCATCTTTTGAATCATTCATTTTGTGCTAGTAAAAATGACAGATTAGCAAATTGGCTTTTTATTTTCTTTTCAGATAACCAACCCTGTATTTCAAGGCATTGAGTGTCATTCCCATACAAACCCTTAATATTATCTTCAGCTGAAACGGTAAATAAGGACAGGTTTCTTATTTTTGGTTTTAACTTCCAGTTAACTTGTTAAAAGTCTAAAGGTAGATGGTGCGTTGTATTAGTTTATTCCTTTCTGTACCTAAAGCACTGAATGGATCACAAACTTTACATTAGTACAGCATTGAGGCATAAAATTCCAGTTTAGGAAATCCTAAATTTTTAGCAAAATTTTTTTGTTAACCTGAAAAAGGGGGTAAACTGTAACGGAGATTGTGTACGTATATTTTGACAGGCCAAAAAAATTAATAAAAATAGGGGTTTTTGCTATCCTACCCTTTTTTTTGGTATGATTTTGCCTTCAGCTAGGTGTGATATAACTCAGTCCTCACTTTGAGAGTTGGGAATTGGAAGAGTAAAGGCATCATTGTAAGACGGGGAAGAGAGATAAAAATCAGATGAGACTGAGTTTTGATCCCGAGTGCTGCGTTGAGGAAAACATTCGACCGTGTGGTGTAAGCAAAGAGGGAAATTATGCTGAAGACGTTTAGTCCCCAGAAATACAATTTAAGAGAAATACTGGTTTGATAAACAAAAAGAAACAATTCCGCAAGTAAATGTAAATGATGCTGAGATACGTTCTGTTTGTTTTAAGGGAACATGACAAAGATCCGGAAACTTTCTTTAAAGTCCTGATGAAACTGAAAGAGAAAGATCTACCTTTTCATGTGTCCGTCCTTGGAGAGGCTTTCACTGAAATTCCAGGTACCTTTCCTTTTTTCTTTTTACTGTAAAGTTACCATAAAATAAATATTTCCAGAAGTAGTTTTCATGTATGTGTTTTCTTACATTAGTGAAAGAACATGTCTAGAATCTTCATGGTTGTAAAATTAAATATTGATTTGTCCTAAAATTAAAATTATTAAGGATAGTAAGCATTTTTTATTTTACTTGGCAGTGCAAGACCCTCCTTATAACTTGTGTTTCAGTAAAAGTTTTGTATTCATTTAAATGGAGAGATAGGTGTGAGTGCTTGGATGGTCCGGATAGGAAACAAAATCTTTCAGGCCGAGGTCACTCATCTGAAATCCAGACTGAGATCTTAGCAGGTGAAAACACTTAGTTCCCTTTCAAGTGTGAGGTTAAGGACTTCTGTGGAGAGCTTCTGGTTTGTATCTGGTATGAAAGTGGTCATTAATCTTTAATATTTTGATTCCACTCTTTTGCACGGGCCTTCCGTTTCTTGGGTTCTGACAAGCAGTTTCACCCACCTGAAAAAGAAGTAGGATTTATTCTGAATACACACAGCTTTGTGCCTGAGATGTTGTGGCAATAGAGAATAATCACATCCTATATTGGGTGCCCTTTTAGTAAATTAAACCTGTTAAAAATACATATTAACGACGGGCAAGCATCAAAACAACCGATGTTTGACCTCATGTGTGTTTTCCAAAATGTGGACTTGCATCCCTCCACCTCTTCGGTCTGTCAAAATAGGCTTGGGATTAGTTTATTTGTCAGTTCTGTCATATCTGTTGCCTGCTGGACTGGTGATATTTCAATTGTTTTAGTTTTGATTTTTGCAGTTTTTAAGACACCAAGAGATTGATCTGATCCAAATAACTTTTGGGTCCCCGACTGTGGCACAGCGGGATTGGAAAAAGAGGTAATAATTTGAGAGCAGGAAATTCTTTGTGTTTTTCTGTCCACTGCTTTTTCAGACAGTTTTCTGAAAGCCTGTTCTCCCAGGCAAGTCTTATCGCAGATCCCAAGGCAACGTTGCTTTCCAGACTGAGCGCACCAGATTTCTTAGAAGGAGAAATTTCTAAGGAATATGTGACAGATAGGAATATACGATGGTGCACTGCGGGAACAGATTCTATTGACACTCATTTTGGATGTTGTTACATATCTCATTTGTGGCTTCAGTACTTATGAATAATGTAGATCATCCTAAATTTATGCCAGTATATCAAATCTATATGCCGCACCTCTTGTCTTGTCAATTCATTCATCCTCGTGTATAAATAGAGTCTATATAAAGGGCAATGTGGTGAAATGTGTCTCATCACCATGCATTTGATAGGGCCGTATTCATACAAATGACATATGCAGGTCATTGCTAACAAGTACCAATAAAACCTGTTGCACATACTTTACTGAAAATCTATTTAAGTGATTTTTTTACAGGTTTTTTTTTTTTTTTTCTTTTTAATAAATTGTTGGCACCGTGTTTCCTCTCTCTCCAATTATGGGATCAAATTCCCTCCGTATTAGAAATGTCACGTTTACAGTCGTTGGTAAGAGGAAAAGTGAGAAAGTGCATAACGTATTTCATAATTCAGTAATCACTCATTTATTTGAAAACCCACTTTTCACTGGTTAGAAGTAGGCAGCGAATATCTAGTAGGAAGGTAAGAAATCTTCAGTTTTCAGTGGTGCTAAGGCTTGGGTTTAGGCTCTAAAGGAACCAAGAGGTGAGACTTAGGGCTTCAGGCAAACGTGCTTCAGAGGGCGATTCCTCCTCTGGGGAAGGGGCGAATAGCTCCACGACTGGCTCTTGTCTGGGCTTTGTCAGCAGTGGAGGAGTTAAGGCTTAACCAGAAGTTACTCCTCAAGAGTGGAAGTTGTGTCTATCTCTTCTTTGATATCCGTGCGCGTAGTACAGAGCGTCATTTTCAATTAGAGGTTTAAGCCCCTTTTCTGTCGTTGGTACCTCTCTGTCCTCGGATAGAAGCTGCTCTTTCAGTGTGGTTTTATGGTCGATCAGATTTTGGCTAGATAACGGTAGCAGCGGAGCGACGTGCATGTTTGAAAGGCCAGCCCAGACATCTGAGCCCCATACCCAGAAGCAGCATCTCTCCATCCCTTCCCTGAGGCTTCCCAAAGAACGACCTGCTGTCCTCCAGCCATCCCAACCCTCCTCATTCCCCTTTCAACCTCCACGCCTCCAGCTCTGAAACATCCTCAGACCTCCCTCAGAAACCCGACTGTACTTTCTCCAGCTTTTTCACTGTTCCTCCATCCAGTCTGCTTGTTTCCACCCTGCCTGCCAGCACATCTTCCCTCTTTCCCATACTCTCCATCTGGTTCCTTTTCGCGTTGCTTCTTCCTTTCCCAGCCCAGTGCTCTCCTCCTTTCTTCCAGACGTCCCC